TAATTCCTACATTTCACGTTCTGTGACAAATGTCACATATATGTCACGTCCTGCGTCGAATGTCACGTTATTCACGCAACATTTTCACGTTCTGCGTCGAATGTCACGTCATTTCACGTTCTGCGTCAAATGTCACATAAATGTCATGTCCTGCGTCGAATGTCACATAAATGTCACGTCCTGCGTCGAATGTCACGTCAATTCACGTGTCATTGTACGTTCTATGTCAAATGTCACATAGATGTCACGTCCTGCGTCAAATGTCACGTCCTACGTCGAATGTCACATTATTTCACGTGACATTTCACGTCCTGCGTCGAATGTCACGTTCTGTGACAAATGTCACGTCCTGCGTCGAATGTCACGTGACATCCAACGCTTTGACACCTCATACGTCAAAATCCGACCAATAGCAACGAAGATACGTTTTAGCGCTCATTTGGCAACGCCACCATCTTTGTTTTTTGTCTCCCCGCCTTCTCCCCGTTCCAACGAGCCCTCGTACGTCACGATCGGACCAATAGAAACGAAGATACCCACTAATGTCCTTTTGGCATGCTCCGATGCGCATGGCACATACTGCATTCAACCCCATTTTTCATCCCCTTTCCAACGAGCCCTCGTACGTCATCCTAGGTTAAGCCGTTTGGAACTTACGACCGGGGGTTGCGATTTTAGGGGTTGCAATTTAGGGGTTGGTCCAGGAAGTACATAGCCTATTTCGCTATACTGCTATCTTCGATTTTTCTATAAAAAGAAGAATTGCATTAAAATGAATTGACAGTTGACGCTGACAGAAGAAGATTTGACAGATGGAAAAGAAGAAGAGTTAAGACGTGACAAATAATTTGACATATGGTTCGGGTCTTGGCTAATCTGTTCCGGTCTTGGCTAAGTCGGCCGGTAATGCAGATCCAATGCTTACCGACATTGGCGCCATGTCTGTCTGGCTGTCTGGCCCAACCGACCCATACTCTGCTAATGAATCCAAAAAATAATAGAACAAAACAAAATTCCTCAAGAATGAAGATCAAGCATCCTAATACATCTTTCAAAACAGGGAGACAAATCGGACCAGAAAAATTACAGAGTAATTAATTTATTAAACACAACACTAAAATTAACAACCAAAATGATAACAAATAAATTGAATGAAATGATAACACTAGCGGAAGAACAACAAGGTTTTAGGTCGGGAAGATCATGCACCGACGCTATATTTATAATGAGGCAAATACCAGAGAAATCATTAGAATACAACAAACCGGCATATCTATGTTTCGTGGACCTTACAAAGGCATTTGACCGGGTCAAATTAAACGATGTTATCCATTTACTGTACGCAAAAGAGATACCTTTAGGTATAATCAAAAACGATCAAAAATATCTACCAAAACAACACAATAGAAATAAAAGTAGAAGAAGAACTAACCGACCCTATTAAAGCTGGCAATGGGATAAGACAGGGAGATTCATTGGGTCCTCTATTGTTCAACCTGATTATGGATGAAATAATAAAAAAGTAAGAACTAAAAAAGGATACCAAATGTGAGAAATACAACTTAAAATAATCTGCTATGCAGACGACGCATTACTACTCTCTCAAAGTGAAGATGATTTACAACATATGCTGCACCAATTTAATATATCCGCCAGAAAATTTAACATGTTAGTTTCCTCAAAAAAGACACAATGCATGGTTACAACAGCAAATTTACTAAGATGTAAATTGGAGCTGGAAGGTCAGATTAAACAAGTGATGGAGTTTAAATATCTAGGCATCACATTATCTAGCTACAGAAAGCTCGAAACCGAAGTGGAAGATAAAGTGAATAGAGCAAAAAGAGCCGCAGGCTGCTTAAATGAATCAATATGAAGAAATAAAAATATTAGAAATGAAAGGCAGAATTTACAAAACAGTCATCAGACCAATAATGACATATGCGACAGAAACAAGACCTGATAGAGAGAGGACAAAAAGGATGTTAGAAACAGCAGAGATGAAAACACTTGACAACACAGAAAAGTTGATTGCAAGACACAATGGACAGATGAACGATCATATAAGCCGAACGACAACTTACTGGAGGCACATTGAAAAACAGACAGACTCATGTCTATATAAAAAGAAGAGAAAGAAGAGAAGAAAAAGAAGAAGAAGAAAAAGAAGTCCCAGTTATTCTTTACGTTTGCGCCCAAATAGGTAATATTGTGGACTCTTTCTAACTCTATTCTATACATTCTGATGTTCATTGGTTGTAACTCCGTTTTGCTGACAACTATAAGTTTTGTCTTAGAAGTTTTAGCCCATATTCATCACATTAACGTAATATCTCTATTAATTAGAATTTTCTTTAATTTATAGAAGCTGGCTCTGGCTTTTTCAATGCTTATTCTTATTTCTTTATTTATATCCCAGTTATCGTTAACGTTTGCACTCAAGTAGGTAATATTGTGGACTCTTTCTAACTCTATTCCATACGCTCTGATGTTCATTGGTTGTAACTCCGTTTTGCTGACAACTATAAGTTTTGTCTTAGAAGTTTTAGCCCATATTCATCACATTAACGTAATATCTCTATTAATTAGAATTTTCTTTAATTTATAGAAGCTGGCTCTGGCTTTTTCAATGCATATTCTTATTTCTTTATTTATATCCCAGTTATCGTTAACGTTTGCACTCAAGTAGGTAATATTGTGGACTCTTTCTAACTCTATTCCATACGCTCTGATGTTCATTGGTTTGTAACTCCGTTTTGCTGACAACTATAAGTTTTGTCTTAGAAGTTTTAGCCCATATTCATCACATGCTTCGGTTACCCTATTTATAAGTCGTTGCAGGTCTTCTTAATTGGAAGCAATAAGTACCGTGTCGTCTGCATATCTGAGATTGTTGACATTAATTCCGTTGATTTTAATGCCTGTATCTTCAACTAAGGTTTCTTTGAAAATAGATTCGGAGTAGATATTAAAAAGTAGAGGCGATAGAGTACATCCTTGCCTCACTCCACGTCATCTTTTCACTGCTTTAGTCGTGGTGTGTCCAACTCGTATGTTTGCACATGGATGCCAATACAAATTTTTGATAATATGGAGGTCTGGTCATCAATTCCCACCTGTTGCAAGACACCTATAAGTTTGATATATATATATATATGTATATATATATATATATATATATATATATATATATATATATATTATATGTATATATATATATATGTATATATATATATATATATATATATTATATATATATATATATATATATATATATATATATATGTTTTTTCGAAGTCGATAAAACACATATATACCATTTGTTCGATATGTCTACATCTTTGAACCATGACCTGCAAACTGAAAAGTGCTTATCTGGTTCCAAGGTTGTTTCTGAAACCAAATTTTGTTTCACTTAGTTGTACTTGTATTTTGTTGTAAATTCTCCAGTGTAGTATTCTTGGGAACATTTTCTCATCAGACTGATAGTGCAATGATCGCTACACTGTTTGGCATTTATTTTTTTTTCGGTATCATTACAAATGTTGACTGTAGCCAGTCTGTTGGTATATGTCATATTTCATATATTTTATTAAAGGCGCTTAGATGAGAATAGATAGAATCATAGATTATAGTAAAGCTTTCGATTTGGTCAACTGGAGTAAAATGTGGCAGGTTTTGTCTGAAATGGGAGTCCCTAATCATCTGATACTGCTAATTAAACGCCTGTACAATAACAATTATGCCAGAGTTAGAATAAATGGGGAACTAACTGACAGTTTCAGGGTCACAAAGGGCGTGAGACAAGGCTGCATACTAAGCCCAATTTTATTTAACATCTATGGTGAATGGATAATGCGGAAAGCTACTGAGGACTGGAACGGTGGCATCACCATTGGCGGGAAGAAGATTTGCAACTTGAGATATGCAGATGATACTACTATCCTCGCTAGTTCTGAAACTGAATTGATTCACCTGCTACAACGGATAGAAGACGTAAGCTTAACGATGGGCTTTAAAATAAACAGGGATAAAACGAGAATCATGATAATTGACAGAGCTAACATCAATCAAAATCATCTGGTTAGGATAAACAATATCGCTGTTGTAGATAAATTTGTGTATCTGGGCTCAGTAATAACCAACAAAGGAGGCTGTACTGAAGAAATAAAGCGGCGGTCAGCAATCGCAAAAAGCGCTATGGCAAAATTAACAAAAATTTGGAAAAGCCATGAAAGTACTACCGATACAAAAATGAGACTAGTAAGAAGTCTAGTTTTTCCAGTTTTTACTTATGCATCGGAATGCTGGACCCTTACTGAGAAAGACAAAAAGAACATAGATGTATTTGAGATGTACTGCTCTAGACGAATGCTGAGAATACCATGGGTGGCCCGAAGAACAAATGAATCCATACTGGTCCAGCTAAACATAAAGAAAAGACTAAGAACACAAATAACAGAACAGATAATAAGCTATTTTGGACATGTGCTTCGAAGAAATGGTCTTGAAAAACTTACCATCCAGGGAAAAGTAGAAGGCAAAAGAAGTAGAGGTAGATCTCCTACACGATACACGGACCATATTGTTGCTACCATTGGCGCTCCATTGTCAGAATGTGCTAGATTGGCAGAAAATAGAAAAACGTGGAGGAACATTGGAAAAATTACCTAACAGCTTCATGATATCACGATACCTGCATCAGGTTAACGACTAAGAAGAAGATGAGAATGTTTGTCCTTATCATCCAGTAGTTTGATTATTTCGCTTGGAATTTCATCTGGACCCATTGCTTTCCTATTCTTTGATAGCTTTATAGCTCTTTCCATTTCATCGAGTGTTATGTTTGGACCAGTCGATACATTTTCGATTTGAACGGATATTATATGGCTCAGGGTCACCCCATGCCGTATAACATCCATTCCACGGTCGCTTTATTTCAAAGATCTATAAAAGATTCTGTAGTATTTATGAGCTATTTTATATATTTATATTTTTAGTTTGGCTGGCCCACAAAATTTCCGTTCTTCGTTTAAGAACAGCTTTGAGAACCGACGAAAGGGTTCGATTAATGCATGAACTTATTTCTGGAATCCGAGTTATTAAGATGTACTGCTGGGAAAAACCTTTCTCTAAGCTGATCAACTTGGCTAGAAGGTAATTGTTTTATATGTAAGTTACTGATTCATTTCTATGCAATATTTTTACTTTGATATAATATTCGCATTAAATAAAATTGTTATAAGGATACTTAAAACACTTTAATAATATAGTGGAGAGTTGGACAAAACGGGATAGCTAACGTTATTTGACACATAACTATTTGACTATGATATTTAAATCTACTTCTTTTTAACTGTAACTTCTTCATTGATTACCTCCTATGTTTAAGTATAGTTACGCCTAAATAGTGTGATAATAACATTAAAAAAGTCATTTTTTTTAATGGCAAAGTATCCTGTTTTGTCCACCTGGTCGGTTAAAATAGGATGGTTTTTGTATTTACAGTTTAAAACCGACAAAAATCGCATAAGTATGGCTCACAATCATTCTCTACCTCAACACAAGCTTCGTGAGCCCAAAGTCGACATTGCTCATACATTACCCAACCATCATCTGATTTTGATTTGGAATACAGTTACGAGCAATAAATACAAACTTTGTTTTCGTCTTCATTATCTGAACTGCTATTTCTTTTGTTTCTTTCTTATTTTTTCCTTTGCGTTTCCAATTTTGTTTTTCTTCCAAATTTAGTTTTGGTTTCTCGATGCACTTTTTAACTATAGACCTCTCCAGTTCTTCTTTTTACTCGTAAGGTGTTGGATTAACACTGCTCAGTGCAGAGTTTTTCCTCTCCTTTTATCATTAGGGTTAATTTTTCTTTTTTCGTGAGGATAGGCAAGTAGTTGTTTGGGAGTGACTTGAAATTTATTGACAGAGTACGAACAAGAGGGTATTGTATTAGCACAGAAATTGTTTCAAGAAAGAGGAGGAGGAGTAGTATGATAATTTTTCTTATTTTCAAGCACCTTAGGAGATTTTTGTGGTGTAAAAGTATCTGAAGGCAATGTATTTGGGGAATTCTTATTTTCTGCATCACCATCAATTTGGTTTTGTGATAAGGGTGGTGTACGAGGAAAAGAGCGCCGATTATTTTCTAAAACTGGACCAATCATTGTATCGTTCATAGGTGTTTTTGTGATTTCAGCTAGTTCAAATATACAGTCAATAAAAATTTCCGGATTGAGAGGTTGAATGCTTTCTTTCTAAATCCATTCACAGCGGTTTGGACGCTAGCAGCTTTCATATATGCGCTTCCGGGAAGTTTTCCTATTTAGGAGATTGTAATTGGTCGACTTGGATGTTGCTGCATCCATTTTTGAACTTCTAACGTATAATAAGTGCTGAGTGGTGACATAAAACTGACGTCTAGAGGCTGCAATCGTGGTATGTAGAGGGAAGCACAACATTTTAACACCAATATCTCTAGCTTTCTCTATGACGTTATTACTTTTGTGTTGGTCGTATGCCCATCCAAAAGTAAAAGGACATGATCTTCTTTCTAGGATTTTGAAAACTCAATAAAATGACTAAACCAGTTTGAAAAAATTTATTTTTGCATCCATCCTGAGGAATTATAGAAAGCTTATGGTCAGGGGAAGCATCATCTAGCAGCTCAGGTTTTGCTCTGGACCTGGGAAAAATGAAGAGTAATGCTAGTAAAATTTAGTTCAAAGCCGTTCATTACCAACGTAATTCAGGTCTATGCCCCAACATCATCCAGTGATAAAGATAAATTAGAACCATTCTACAAATATCTTACTGATGCTTTAGATCTTGTCAAAGCAGCAGAAACTACCATAGTCCTCGGAGATTTTAACTCTAAAGTCGGCAAAGGACACTGTTTGAACATTGTGGGGGATTACGGCCTGGGAAACAGAAACGAACGGGGAGACCGATTTTACAGTTCTGTCAAGAACACGATTTTATTATATGGGATACCCACTTTAAACTACCACCGAGAAGACTCTACACCTGGAAGTCAAATGCAAAATCAGAGGACAAAATTATTAGGAACCAAATCGACTTCATTCTAATAAAAAATCGATTTAGAAACTGCATCAAATCGAATAAAACTTATCCAGGTGCTGACATTGGGTCCGATCACAATCCCATAAAAGCTGTAACCCAATTAAAATTAAAAAAGGTGATCAAAAAGAAGTCTCGCAAAAATATTAATACAGCTCAATTACAAGACGAGAAAGTTAATTAATCAGTTCAAAGGCAACTGAACGAAAATTTTATTTTAGAAAATATTGGTGAAAAAGTCGATGAGGGCTTCAATAAAATCGCAACAACAGCAAAAGAAATCTGTGTAAGAAATTTACAAGGCAGGTAAAAGCCATGATACTATAACAACAAGATATGCTCAATTGCTGTTCTAATTTTAATTGACTTTGCGCATGTCGTCATAGCGAGACAAAGCCAGGGAACTTGTATGTATCATAACGATTTTAACGATGCGTCATACGGCAACGTTGTTCCATTACTGTAATGAACAACTTCAAAACTTAAATTGTTAACGGTAAGTATACCTTAATGCCATATCTTGCACTAAGAAGTCATAACTAGTTACTTTCTGTGAAAACGTGTTTTGAAAATTAATAAGTAATTTGTAAAATTAATTAAAGAAATATATGAATCTACGATTTGATTGTGTGTATTACAAACAAAATAAATATTGCTACAAAACATACATTAAATATAAAAGGCCGGCAATATGTAAAGAATTTGACCATAAAGGAAATGCGGGTCATACCTGAGACTTTATGAATATCATTTATCATTTAATAATAATATCATTCAAAGAATAATCACAATCTTTGTGATTTTTCTTTTGTGGTATTGTATTATCTTTAATATTTTAATTTAGAATTCGTATTTTAAAATACATTTTACATCTAAAAAAAAGTAATGTTATATATTCGTTAACATTTACATATTTTGCAGCTTCTATTAAGTTTTTTAAACAATTTTTTGTTAGTTTTAATGTGTCGCCATTATAACTACGAAAAATATGTTCCAGTTCACTACATACTACATACATCCAAAGTAACTTTTTTTAAAGACCTATCAAGAATAAAGTATTACTTCAAGTTCTATTAAAATGGGCATTAGTATACATTATTATCTATAGAAACATTTATTATTATCCATAGAAACATTTGCTATGCTGTTAAAGTTTAACTTGCTGTCATTAAAGTTGTCTCGGGCTTACGTCACAAGAACATGCGCGTTGACTTATCTTGTTTTGTTATAGTATCATGGGTCAAAGCTAAAAAAGCAGGCTTGGATGAAAGATGACATATTGGATTTGATGGAATAACGGCGACTAGAGAAAAACAACGGATCGCTTTACAACAGCATACAAAAAGAAAATCGACGTAAAATTCGAGAAGCAAATAGTCAACATCTAGCCAAACAGTGTCATGACATTAAAGAACTTGAAAAAAGATACGATACGTTTAACATGTATAAAAAAGTTAAAGAAGCAGCTGGTATATTCAATAAGAAAACAAACTGCATTACTACAGGATGAAAATGGAAAGTAAGTAATATTTAAAGTAGAGGACAAACTTAAAGAATGGGAAAATTACGTCACGAACCTATTCGAAGACGATAGCAGTAGTTCACCTTTCGATATTACTAACTGCGACGGACCCCTAATAATACGCTCTGAGGTTATAAAAGCCATACAATCATCAAAAGATGACAGAGCGACTGGTCCTGATGAAATTCCAACTGAAATATATAAGCTTATAAATGATAGCAATGTTTTAGAGACTTCGTTCTTCAATACCATTTATACCAGCGGACAACTACCTAATGGTTAGTCTAATTCACTGTTTATAGCTCTACCTAAGAGGACAACAGCAAAAACCTGTGCTGATTATAAAACCATCAGTTTGTTAAACCACTAATACATGGTCGTATCTACAATAAATGCGAGAAATACCTGTATGACACTCAGTTTGGTTTCCGTAACGGGTTTGGAACGAGAAAAGCACTGTTTGGTATGATTGTACTTGCTCAAATATGTCGTGATATATATGTAGACATATACTGTTGTTTGATTGACTTCCAAAAGGTATTTGATCGTATTAAGCACTCTATATTGATCGAAGCTCTAAAATAAAGTAGGAATGTCTGTTGTCACCCCTGGTTTTTAACGTTTACTCCGAAAGAATTTTCAGAAAAGCACTCTCTGAAAAACAAGAAGGAATACTTGTGAACGGCAAAGTCATCAATAATTTGCGATATTCGGACGATACAGTACTCCTAGCTTCTAGTTAAGAAGATCTGCAAACACTACTTGATAGTGTCGTTGAGAATTATAGGGAGACAGGTCTGAATCTTAACATAAGGAAAACCAAAATACTCGTAATAAATAAACAACAGCATATAAAACTGTCTATATATGTAAATAATACCAAAATTGAGCAAGTTGATAAAATCGCTTACCTTGGATAACAATTAAATTGTAACGTAGAAAGTCACGGCGGAATTAGATCTAGGATAGAGTAGGCTAGAGCTGCTTTTAGAAGAATGTCCAAGGTGATATGCAACAGAGACCTAAAATTAGTATTGAAGATCTGCCTACTTCGCTGCTACGTGTTCTCGGTCTTACTTTATGGTGTCGAGTCCTGGACACTGTGAATAAAATAGATCTAAATTGCATTGAGGCTTTCGAAATGTGGTGCTACAGAAGAATTTTAAAAGTTTCCTGGGTGGAGAAGATTTGACACTCCACAATACTAGAACGTCTCAGCAAGACTACTGAGATCATAAAAAGCATCAAGCAGGAGTATTTCGGACATATAGTGAGAGGTTCCAAATATAAGTTGCTACAAAATATGACAGTGACAGTGAATAAAACAGATAAGTGACAGTGAATAAAATTAAGATAGCTATGATGGTAACCAACGTTCTGACAGGACATGGTACATGAAGAAGAAGGACAGATCAACAATTAATTAGAATAACCTGCTACATTCAACTAGACGGTATCTGTAGTGATTAACATCTCCGGTCATTAGATGGTGACGCTTATTTTTAAATTATCGTCGATACCCCGTTTTACCAGACTATCATCCTGTTTTAGCCAACTCTCCCCTACAGGAAGGCAATAACTTTCATACCTCATTATCTGAACTTATACTAAAACTGCTGTAAATTTGCTGATTTCACTACTGATGAGCACTGGTTGGGAAAAGGGTGTTCAAACATAAAAAATTCTAACATCATAGAGAGCCCTATCATTAAACCAGATAGCTTTTCTTTGCCTCGTTGTGAACGAATATAATACGATATGATCATGAAGTTTGTAACAAATTATTCAATCAATGGATTACTAACGCTAGTTCGGCATGTAACAAATACAGCGCTGATAAACAAACAATCCACCACATTGTGTTTCTAATCTTTTTTCTTAACGTGCCCCATCCCTAAAGACATTTGCTATCATCATGGCCCATGTGACTCTATCTGAAGCCGTTCTGAAAAGTTCTATTGACGTTTTTCCACTCCATTGTCTCAGATTGTTCAACCAGGACGTGCGTCTTCTCACCGGTCCTCTTTTACCTTCCACCTTCCCTTGTATGACCAGCTGCATCAATTGGTATTTCTCGTTTCTTGATATGTGACCAAAGTAGCTCATTTTTTTTTTCTTTATAGTGTTGAGTATTTTTTATCTTTTTTCATTCTTCATACCGTTTCCGCATTTGTTATGTGTTGTGTCCAAGATATTTTCCAAATTCTTTGATAACACCACATTTCGAAGTTAATGAGTCTTTTCTCTGTCGCCTCTGTAATTGTGTAGGCCTCAACTCTATACAACAGGATAGAGAACACGTAGCATCTCAATACTCTCGTTCTAATTTCAATGTTGTTTTCCATTGCATAATATTGCTTTAATCCTATTAAAAGCACTTCAAGCACATCTTAATACGCCGTTTTATTTCCGTACTTCTATCCGATTATTCATTTAGTTCGCAACCTAAGTACTGATATCTGTGCACCCTGCCTAAAAGTTTTCCTTTAGCATATACTCTCTTTTCCTCAAACTTGTTCTTGCTTATCACCATGATTTTTCTTTTATTTGTATTCACTGCCATTCCATATCTTTCGCAGTATTGGGTAATGCGATTAACCAAGACCTGTAGTCCTTTTCTGCTGCCCGCAAGGAGTTTGTGTCATCTGCGTATCTAAGATTATTCAGAAGTGCTCCGTTAATAAATATGCCTTCATGTACGTCTTCTAATACATCTTTAAACAATTCTTCTGAACACATATTAAAAGGTAAAGGGGAAAGCACACATCCTTGTCTTACTCCACGATTTATAGGTATTTTCTTTCGATTTTTGTTGGTCTATTCGTGTCTTCGTCATCTAATTCTGTGTTCTGTAGTATTTTTGCCATTCTTCGGTGTTGTATTTTGTCGAAAGCTTTTTCGAAGTCGACTAGACATATGAATACGTCGCAATTGACATCTCGACATCGTTCGATTAGTGTTTGTACAGTAAATAATGCTTTTCGGGTGCCAAAGCTTTTTCTGAATCCCATTTGGTTTTCAGCTATTCTATCATCTAGCTTTTTATAAATACGTTCGTGTATCTCTCGTAAGAACACTTTTAGAATATGATTCATCAAGCTAATTGTCCTGTGCTTTTACACTTCATTGCGTTTGATTTTTTGGGTATTGGAATGCATATTGATATTAACCATTCTTTCGGAATCTCTCCCTATAATATATGTCATTAAATAATTCTATTAGTGTGCCCATATCATTTTTTGTTCATATTCTTAAGATTTCTGTAGCTATTTCATCTAGTCCCACGTGCTTCTCATTTTTTATACGTTTTAGCGCTTTCTCAATTTCGTCTTTGGTGATTGGTGTCCCATTTCTTACTCTTGGTTCAATTACCTCAATTTTCTCGTCGTCTTCGAATAGCCCTTTTATGTATTCTTTTCATCTGTTTATTTTATCAGTACATTCCGTTATTATCTTATTATTTTTATCCATGATATTTCCGATACCCTTTTTCTTGTATATGCCAGCTGTCTCATTTATTTTACGGTGTATGTTAAAACTGTCATGTTGTTTATCTAACCTTTCTATTTCTGTACACTTTTTTGATAGCCACAGTTCCTTAGCTTCTTTGATGTTTTTTTTTACTTGACTGATCTTTCGATTTCTTTGCTGATGACTATTGCTACTCCATTACGGTTTTGTGTGTTCTTATCTCCGAAATAGTAAAACACGTAGTTGTCTTTGACACTTCTGCCGCTGTTAGGCCATCGGACTTTACTATATCCAAGGATATCTATCTTTAAGCGTCTCATTTCTTGTGTTAGATTATGGGCTTTCCCTTGTTGGTACAAACTTCGCAAGTTCCAAGTGCCTATTTTTTTCAGTGTATTTAGTTGCATGGCTGGTCTTGTAGATGTTTTTCTCAACACATCACTGGGATTTCGCTTGTTGACGACCGAAGAATCCCTGTGATCTTTTAGGTTTGTTTCTCTTCTGTCGGATCTCGGCTTCCGATTTCCGTGATCAGTAATGCATACTGGTTTTGTTACCATTGCGATCATTGCCACGATAATTGTTCTAGGAATATCCTTAAGAATATTTAATGTGGTAGTCATCCCGTGGTTTTCCACATCGTTATGCCGTTGGTTGCTTATTTGTATCTCCTCCGCCTTATGGGTCAATTAACCCCAGGACAAGAGAGTGCCCTGCCACTTACTTACTCATCCGCCCGAAGCCGTTGGTCAATAAGTGGATGATTGATTATGCCGGCAATCATTCGGTTCATCTGTAACCCTAGATAAGGGGTCCTTAAAGGATAGCTGAAGCCCGGTTTTTTATAGAGGTGTTACTCCTCTCCCCTCCTCTTTTATTCGGGATTGGGACCGGGTGTGTCAAGTGTAGTGCTACTCAGTTCTCCCCACACCTATCACAGACAGAGTTTGTCTTATAATGTCCAGTACTAAACTCGCACCAAATCCACGAACTCACTTCCAAGGCAAGATATTAGCTTCAAGGTCGTAATCTTCAACTTTAATGTAATAACTTTTTTTTAGGAATGAAGTTAAAGCCATCATGTTTCACTCCTACCTGATAGGAATAATCTTTTCCTTTGAAATATTTATCTCTAGAACATCAATATTTATCAGCATATTAGGATACGTTATGTTTGGCAATTACGTGACTGCTGAAAGGGTGTTTGCCGTTACTGCCATTTATAACTGTATGCGACCAATAATCACAATGTTGTTTTCTTTGAGTGTTTCTGCATTGGCTGTGATTAATATCTCCATACTAAGACTACACAATGTGCTTAAATTTGAAGAAATTGAGTCGATAAGGAATGACTTGGTGGTGAATGATCAAAACAGAAAACTTAGTGAAGAAGCACATCTCCCTAGGATAGTATTTAACAGTGTTTGTGCCAAATGGGTAGATGAAGCTACGGAAGATACCTTGATTGATATAAGTTTTGATGTATCACCTAGTATGTTGGTAAGATTAAGGTTTTTTTACTGCCCTCGCTTACATTTTTTTTTATTTCATATAGTAGAAATTAGGCTGCCATTTAAGTTTTGTGAATTTTATGTATCGTGTAAACATCGCCATACTGTTATTAATACCATAATAATAATTATATATTTAAAAAAATCATTGTATAGTTCGGGTTATATTTCATGAAGCACATCTTTATGTTGAAAATATATTTTGCGATTGCAAAATCCAACAGGTCTTTTTTATATTTCCTTAAAGGGTATTAGGCAATCCTGCGTTGGATGGTTGGATAATTAGAAACTCTCTTCTTGCATTGGTGAAGAAACTGGTTGGGACTGTGGCTTTGAATGTTTTTCCACTGGGTGTATATTTCGAAATGGTTTGGACCTCAGGTTGATCGCATCTCTAGTTGGTCGTTTTCTGAAGCTTAAACTATACGAGTTGACGTCAGACATATCTCTGAGTATTGGTAAATACAGGTCAAGTATTTTTTCAGTTCACTAAGTAAAGTATGTATGCCGTTATTCTGTTGGTATAGATTTAATCGTTCCAGATATTAGACGCATTGTAGTATTAAGCTGAGTATATATAATATATATATATATATATATATATATATATATATATATATAGATATATATATATATATATATATATATATATATAATATATATATATATATATATATATATATATAAATAAGGATCACTCAGATGAGTGGTGGGTTCAATCGGTCAACTAGGTGGAGAAATAAAAGACAAAGTTGATACTACTTCATCTATTTTGAAGACGTTTCGCTATCGAATTCTGATAGCATCATCAGTTCATCTAAAAATTTATTTACATTAGAGTACCACACATTTATGAAGAAGATGTTAAATACTTACCTTAAAAAAGATATGTAGTTGTCAATGGTATTAAAAAGTCAGTACAAAAACTCAAATAAATGGACATCGAATGGTGATATTGTATAAACAATTAAATAACTAACAACATTAAGAGACTTAGTAAAAATTAGCAAAGCAACAGAACACGTGGTGTAATAAGCATATAATATTTAATATAATATTAACTAGTGAAGCAGAACTAAGAAAATCATTGATTCACTTCCAACTAAGCAAAAAAGAATTTTTATTTTAACTTCATCTTAACTTTTGGTAGCATTATTAAAGTTAACTACATTAAGATATAAAAAATATGTATAAAAAAGATATAAAGTTAAGTTACCACTGTTTGCTTGGCACCTGTTGCAGATGAAATGGCGTTAAATTAAAAGGTACCGAGTCAATGACATGAAACAGACAGCCAGCCTTGAGGTCGAAAAATTAATCGACAGAACAACAAGGTTAATAATACCAACCCACTAATTTGAGGGCGGTAAATTTGAAAAAGTTAACATGAGTTTAAATGATAACCATCCCGTAAGAGACCAAACAATGAAAGAAATTAGCGATAACGCTAATCCCCTGCATCAACTAGTCTAGAACAAACAAGTAGGCCAAATTCATTAAACTCCATATTTAAAAGAGTGGTAAACGTCAACAGTGTAGTTGGTTATACATCTACAGGTGTTTGACGATAAGCACCTAATTTCCAAAAAGTCCAAGGTCCCACGCTTGGAACTTTAATTTATAAAATATTCAAGGGTTGAATTGTATTTATTAATATTAAGTAAAAAACCAGAGGGTCAAATTAATCAATATATGAAAAACGACCAAATATGCAATGTGAGTTGCATAAGTAAGTTTAAGTTGATTAGTATTTATGTAATAATATATTATTTGTTTATTAAGTATTCATTATAGTAAGTTGAATTTATTTTAAAAAAGAAAATGTGTTGAATTATCCGACTCTAGAGACACATACATAACGAACTGAATTGTAAAGCCTAATTCTGCAATATTAAAGCATGATATATTTGACTCAAGTTACTTATGTCTGTTCTCTTATTTAAAGCATTAGGATGTTTAAGAATGGAACACATTTCTAAGAACTGTCTTTTACTAAGATTGCGCTCAGTGCCAAGAACTTTAACTTCATTGAAATTCACCTTATGTTTGGTGTTAATTGCGTGTTGCGCTAACGCACATGTGTGTTTAGAAAGATTAATGTCACTTCGATGGGAAGTAAGACGTCCTTTTAGTGATCTTCCAGTTTGACCAATATAGCAAGCGTCACACTCAGCACATGGTAAATAGTATATAGTGTTAACTTGTTCCAAAGTGGACAAGGGTGTTTTAGTTTTAGAAAACAAATTTCTAACAGTCTTAGCATTCTTAACTGCAATTTTAACTGGTATGTTATTATGTTTATATAGTTTAATAAGCTTCTCTGTAACTTGAGGAAAATAAGGCAGAGATGAATAATGGGTGGTAGGATTCTCAAGATCAGTATTAGGCAGAACAATGCTATTGACTGAATTATTAGAAATGGTTCTAAGTTGGTCACCATTGGGTATATCATCAAAAGAGGATCCATAACTTTGAGAGTATAGGTATTTATTTATGATGGAGGAAGGATATGAATTTTCAATTAGAATATGTCTCAATAACTTAAGGGATTCCCTTCGATTAATCGGATGTGTTAATTTATGTAATCTGCAACTAAGTGCTTTAATAAGGTTCAATTTATATTTCATAGGATGACAGGAATGGTAATTAAGGAACCTATTGGAGGCCATTGGTTTTCTATACCAACTTGTGGTCAGGGTGTTATCTCCCATTCTGATGACACGCATGTCTAAAAAGGGGATACTATTTGTGACAGTGTCCTCAAGTTCAACAGTGAACTGTAAGTGAGGATCAAATTCATTAAAGAAGGATAAGGTACCCTGAACCTTGTCAGGTGGTAGGGCTAATAATAAATCATCCACATACCGCTTAATAAAAGGGATTGGAAATTCTAAGCGACCTAAACGGTCAGAAACCAAATCATCTAGTACATAGTTAACTAGGATGGGTGAGATTGAGGAACCCATAGGTGTGCCAAATATTTGGAGGTAAAATTTGTCCTCAAATACTAAGAAGTTAGTGTCAAAGACTAGTTGCAAAAGTTCTGCAAAAATATCCCAAGAAATAGGGCAATTAGGTTTAATAGAGGTCCAATGATTTTTCAAGGAGGTGATAACACTGGACAAAGGTAAGTTAGTGAAAAGAGAGACCACATCACCACTCATCTGAGTGATCCTTATTTATATTGGATAGACGGTCGTACTCCTTTTTGCGTATATATATATATATATATATATATATATATATATATATATATATAATATATATATATATATATATATATATAGCCCAGGGAAATAAGCATTTTTTCATGACACTCGTCCGGCCAGGCAAACGACAGTTGTTTTGAGTAGTACGGACCTCTGTAACAAAAACCTATATGTTTCCTGCAGTCGATTTTTTGGACCTAATTAGTTATTAACAAATTAAGGCCAAAAAACAAAAAATTTTTGCTTTTTTCGACTATCAGCAAAAAGTGAAGCAATTTAAACAAATTTTAGAAGAAAGGAAACTTATAAGTTATATAAAAACCTTCAAAATGGCGTTTTCAAAATGTTTCTATCCTTATTTGTTGCTTAGAAAGTTGCAAAATAAGTCAAAAATTTCGGTTTTTTATAAATGTTAATAACTTTTTTGAAAATAAACTTATAATATTTATATTTCATGGAATGATGTGTCTTGTAATGCTTAAAATAGTGTTAAAATTTCAAAGTGATCGGTTCAATAGTTGAAAAGTTATTTTATTTGTTTATCCCAAATTAACATTTTTTGCAACAATATAAGTCAGAAATTTATACAGTCTTAGAAATTGTAAGGGTTGTTTCTGGAAGAAGAAGACTTGTTTTATTATTTACATTAAAAAAAATTAAGAAAATTAATTTTAAATATTGCAAAATAATTTTGTAAAAACATGTCGATTTTTTGCTTATAAACAATTAGAATAACTTTTTAACGATTGACTGTAAAAATATTTTTTTTACATATTTAAAAAGCTTGAATTTTGAATTTTGAAATTTGAAAACCATAGTTTTTTAATAATTGGTAAAAATTATAAAACATATTTGTTTTCATAATATTCGTTAAATCAAATACATGGTAAGTCAAAATGCAAGTACATTATTTTCTTGGTCATTTTAAATAGAACACCCTGTATTTTATATTACTATCGAAAAGTACTAATATCGTACTTCAAATTTTATAGAGTACTCCCTATACATAAAGTTATTAGTTTTCTAGATATTTTTATTTTTCCATCAAAGTATAAATTTTGAAGATATTTTAACGTTTACCAATAATTATTGTGAGTTGACCATGATTGATTTGTCAGAAACTGACAGTTTGACATTATTGTTGATTAATTCAGTAAACGAATAGTATTTTGTGAATGGGCCTTAAAAAAATTAATGAACAGAGATTTTTTTTGATTATATCATATTTAAACTTATAAATAACTCATAAATAACTTTCACTACTATTCAACAAGTAATCCATACCAAATAGTAACACATAGTCAAACAAAATAATCTTTAAATGTGTGGGGAAGTATCGTGGGTAACCATGTAAAAGGACCATATTTGTTTAAACATAACGTAAATGGTAAGATTTATTTAGATTTTATCGTACATGAGTTACCGATATTATTAGAAGAGCATCCACTTAATATACTTGAACAAATGTGGTTTCTACATGGAGGTGCTTCTGCGTACCACAACGAATTAGTACGTGGTGAACTTAATAATCAGTTTGGTGAAAGATGGATCTTAAGGGGTGGCCCAAGGTCACCAAAATTCAATAAAATGAACTCATTTTTTTAGGGTTACATTAAGAACGAAATATATAAAATACCTTCAACAACAAGGGATATAAAAAATAGAATCCGAATTGCATTTCAAAATATTTCTTTGCAAATGCTTAGTAATGTAAGTAACTCTTTCAATGACCGCTTTCAAGTATCCATAGATATTTTGGGAGGTCATTTTGAACACCTTACTTAAGTATGATTAGTTAAAATTACAGTTGTTTTTTATTTTTTTATGTGTTGTTATTTTTTTTTATTTTCTGTCGGTTATTTTTTATAAATTTTATTTGAAACAAATTGTTTTCTTTTCTGTGTCGTTATCTCGTTACTGAATTAAAAAACAATAATGTCAAACGGTCAGTTTCTGACAAATCAATCATGGCCAACTCCCAATAATTATTGGTAAAAGTTCAAATATCTACCAAATTAATACTTATCTAGAAAATTGATAACTTTAGGCCTTTAGGTATAGGGAGTATTCCATAAAATGTAAAGTACGATATTAGTACATTTCGATAGTGACTTAAAATACAGGGTGTTCTATTTAAAATTATCAAGAAAATAATGTGCTTGCATTTTGACTTACCCTGTATTTAAATTAACGAAAATTATGAAAACGAATATATGTTTTACAATTTTTAACAATTATTAAAAAACTATGATTGCAATAGATCAATGGTCCTATACTCCTTTTTAATGATACCGGGAGTTAAACTTGATACTATTTTCAGGTAATATTGGTTATAACTTTTTAAATATCCGGTATAACATAATAAAACTTTACATTATTGTGATGTGGAAGTGAAGCAAATTTCAAATTTAAAATAAAATACCGGGTGTTTCATTTAAAAAACATAAGTTTGGTCTGCCACAATCTTATAGAACACCCTGTAAGATTGTAACTAATTTTAAAATTTGGAGTTTAAAGCTGTCTACAATTTTTGTCAATAATTTTTTTTGTAATTTTTACTATAACAGATCTACTGAGTTTCCTCATACTAATCAATCACCCAAAGAGTTATCAGAAAAATTTTCTACAAAGTAACATTAATTTATTAATGTTCCGCATTCTGAGAATTTCCGAAGTAGAAATCGGAAACATCAAAAATAAACTTATTATAAAATTAAATTGTGGCTTATTCCCCAAAATATAGGAAATGATAAGTACTTCTGTTTTAAATTCAAACTTAACTTGAATACTACTAAAAAAATTTTTAAAAAAATTGTTTTTAAACACATTAGGTGGTTTATTTGAAAATTTATTTATTGAAATAATGCATATTCGTAATGTACGCAAAAAGTACATACAAGTCCAAAAAGAAACGTTCAAATACATAAAAAAAGAACAGAGATACAGTTAACAGCGCCTTCCCCCTCCCTTCAGCTCCCGAGAGTTTTAAAGCCGACGGATTTTACATACATTTTGAAACTTTGTGGAGGATTCCATTAAAGGGCAATAATTTTAAAATTTAGTAGTTTAAAACTATAATGTATATTCTTTCAAATAGCGCTAATTAGATTTTTTAATTGTTATAAACAAAGGTGCTATGAATTAAATAAAAAAAGAGGCTAACTTTGTACCAAATTATTTTAGGACAAACTTTTTTTATTTAAATTTGTGAAAAAATTCAAGCTTTTTAAATATGTAAAAATAATGTTTTTACAGTCAATGGTTAAAAAGTTATTCTAATTGTTTATAAGCAAAAAATCGACATGTTTTTGCAAAATTATTTTGCAATATTTAAAATAAATTTTCTTAATTTTTTTTTTAATGTAAATAATAAAACAAGTCTTCTTCTATCAGAAACAACCCTAAGAATTTCTAAAACTGTATAAATTTCTGACTTATATTGTTGCAAAAAATGTTAATTTATGATAAACAAATAAAATAACTTTTACACTATTGGACCGATCACTTTGAAATTTTAACCCTATTTTAAGCACTACAAGACACATCATTCCATGAAATATAAATATTATAAGTTTATTTTCAAAAAAGTTATTAACATTTATAAAAAAACCGAAATTTTTGACTTATTTTGCAACTTTCTAAGCAACAAATAAGAATAGAAACATTTTGAAAACGCCATTTTGAAGGTTTTTATATAACTTATAAGTTTCCTCTCTTCTAAAATTTGTTTAAATTGCTTCACTTTTTGCTGATAGCCGAAAAAAGAAAAAATTTTTGTTTTTTGACCTTAATTTGTTAATAACTAATTAAGTCTAAAAAATCGACTGCAGGAAACATATAAGTTTTTGTTACAGAGGTCCGTACTACTCAAAACAACTGTCGTTTGCCTGGCCGGACGAGTGTCAAAAACAGGGTACTTTTTTTGCTTATTTCCGTGGCCTAATATGGTGGTTTAAACCATCCATAAATATTACATAAAAAGCATGTTCTGTTCTTGGCAGAACTGAAGTAGTCTGTTGCCTCTTTAATTCCGTAGTTCTGATCCATTTTTACATATGAGTTTTCACTTTTGTATCGAAATCGACCAGCGTGGTCGCCTTGTTTAAATTATTATAACTGGCATCCAACGTGGGACCAACTAACCAACAGTTGGCTGCCGATACGAGTTAATTTATCCCGCTGATATCACATACTCAACTGCTATGGCTATATTTATCATTATTTTTTTTATTATGTATTGGACGTGATAAATTAAAATATAGTTGTTTTAGGTAGCAATCATAGGTCCTGTTGGAAGCGGAAAAACCAGTATTCTCAACGTTATCTTGGGAGAGTTACCTATAAAGTCAGGAATATTAGAAGTAGTCGGAAGCATATCGTATGCTCCTCAAGAACCATGGTTATTTGCTTCCACTGTTAGAGATAATATACTTTTTGGAGAAAAGTACGTGGAAATACGGTATAAGGCTGTAGTAGACATGTGTGCTTTAACTTCTGACTTCAATGTATTACCTTATGGAGATGGAACGTTAGTTGGAGAAAGGGGAAATGCTTTGAGTGGAGGCCAACGAGCAAGAATCGGCTTAGCGAGGTGTGTCTACAAAAATGCTGACATATATCTTTTGGACGATCCTTTATCTGCAGTTGACGCTAAAGTTGCTAGAAGTCTTTACGATAAATGTATCAAACTATTTTTATCAGACAAAATCTGTTTGTTAGTAACACACCAGCTTCAGTTCCTTAAAACCGCCAATAAAATTATAATTCTTAAAGATGGAGAAATCAAAATGATTGGAAGTTATAGTGATCTCAAAAACAGTGATCAAGATTTTGTTAAAGTGATAGAATCTATTCAATATGAAGATGTAGTTGATGTGGAAAAGAAAAAAATTAGATCTCGTCAATCTAGTTTCTTAGTAGACGATATTTATGATGAAGTCGAAGATATCGAAGAAGAAGTTTTTATTAGCGGTAAAATTAAACTGGAAACCTATATGTCCTATTTTAAGGCTGGTGGTACTATAGCAACAGTATCTTTGCTAATTTTTCTGTTTATTATTTGCCAGGTATTTGCCAATGGTGGAGAATATTTTTTGTCTTATTGGTAAGTACTCTTAGTTAGTACCTTTTACTACCATAAATATTTAAAAAATATAAGAATATGATATTATATTGTATTGTAAGTTGTTTAAACGTACCTTGACGTGTCAGAAACGCGAACGATCACAAAAAACGATAAAGAATATTTAGGCTATTTTAAACGTAAAATCCTGAGACATAATATTTATAAAGGTTTACAAGAAAACAGCATAGGCGATATAATTTTGAGCATTATAGCTTTTATAGTAAACCTAGTATTGGTAGATCCATTACAATAAACAGGCTGCGGTTGCTAGCCAACTTAGAGAAAATAGGCGAGATGGAATCAAAACAGGAAGGCATGGAAGCTGATCTTATAACAGGTGAAGACTTACTATGGGTTATAGAGCCAATGTTGATGATGATTAACCTTAGATATATGTTACGATATTTTTTTTAATTTAAGTGGTATTTTCCATTTGTTTATACTACTTGTGGAATAGGTAGGGGAGGGTAGTACACAATGAGACAAAAAACACATTTTTATGTCTAACATTGACATTTTTGAATTTTTCTACAAACTGAGTTAATCTTCCGTTACTCGCGCCAATTTTCTGTGATCGAATACTCGCGCCCGGTGCAGAAGACTGGGTCCGAAAAAATGGGGTCAGTAATATTTTTTAATTTTCTATTTTTGAAAATTGTGTACAATTATATTATTTAATGAATATATGATCATATAATTTTGTAGATATGCGTTTGTTTCAACATTATATTAGTTTAATGAAAAGTTAACTAATTTTCATTGTTATCCATTTATATATACAAAAAACTTTAAAAATTAAAAAAATACATTGAATACTGTTAAATTTGTTTACTAGGAACTTCAAGAAATTAATTCAACACACAAAAAAATAAAAAATTAAGAGTACTTTCAACAAAAAAAAAGAAATATTAATTAAAATTTTCATAACATGAATTACACAATGATGTAACATGTTTCAAACACAGATATTTTGTGCATATTTGGCCGTAATCTTTTGTTTTTCTATTTTTCCGCCAATGACAAACAGCCATCGAGCAATAAGACAAAAGAGGGAATCTAATCCTTATGAAAAGGAGACCAAAAAAGTGGCCTCTGATGGCGGACATATCCGGAAATGCGAATGCGCGAAATTTAAATTTTCCGACACTTATCAACAGTAGCTATATAATATTTTTCAGAATGTGTCTTAGACGAGCAAGTTTTAATTAATTATTAATGATAAGAGTCTAAAATGCGACACAATTGTTAAAAAACTTCAATATAAATAAGATTTCATGTGACATTTGGGACAAACAATAACATAACCCAACTAAATTTGATGTCAAACAAGGAGAGAGACTCTCTTTCCTTGTTTAAAGTGGCCTCTAAAGATCGCACTTCCTGTCTAACAATATGTTTGCCCCCACTACCTTTACATTCCCTCTATTGTCTTTTTGCTCGATGCAAACAGCACAGCGACCTTGAGTTCCAGGTGTTATGACTGGTACTTGTTCCGCTGGTAAGCCACATATCTCTGTAAGCCTCATTCTGATGGTTCTGGGTAAACTGGTAGACATAGCCCGTACTTTTTGGTAGTCATTGGTTAGTAACATCGAGAGTTTTAGTAAAAATTCTTTACGTGGTGTTTTAGATTCTTCATCTAGACTAGTACAAACTACAAAAGAGTTTATTCCTGCTACTTTCAACAAACTAAAAAAAAAGGAACCATGGGCCATCGTCTTGTGGCACGGGCGCAATTATATTGCGCGCATAATTTATCTACCACATCTACTCCGCTCTTCGTTTCATTATATGTAATTATCATCTCAGGTTTACCTATGGTATGGTCAATATCATCTCAATGGTGCATTGTAGAGATAAGTAGGACGTTTCGATTTTTTTTTTTGGCATAAGCGAAACCAAGGTGATTCCGTCATTAAATCCAAACATTGAAGAGCCAATGCACCTGCCGTTATTTTGTATAAATTCTAATGGCAACTGTTTTTTTATTTTTTCGAATAGTACCCACTAAAGTTAATTTTTTTGATTTAAGGCTATCAGCTAGAGGCACACTATAAAACCAATTATCTACAGTAACATTCCTATTACTCCCATAAATGTGTGCACAAAGTCTTTCTACTACGTCTTGCGTCGCTGTACTAACTTGAAAAGGGACATTTAGTTATTTTCCGACGTAAACTTCTAAGTGGCTGGTACTTATAGAATTGTTTTGAATCGGAAATGGCAAAAATTTTTATACCATATTTATTCGGCTTGCTAGGAATATATTGTCTGAAACTACAATTTCCTCTAAAAGCTTTTAGTTTCTCATCTCTGGTAACATAACCAGAATGAGAATAGCATTTTTTAATGTTGCTGTTAAATTTTTCTAACAATGTTCGTATTGGAGCCAGTTTATCTACCTGTATTCTTTCATGTCTCGTGTGAATGTTATCAAATCGCAGACATTGCAAAAGAAATTGAAATCAAGGCTTACTCATTACAAGTTGAAAAGTTTCAATGCCAGTGCCATCTGTTCTCCAGAGATCCTCTAAATTCATATGATTTGCTTTTCTAATACCAGCAAGATAAAGGAGACCAATTAGGGCTTTGATTTCGACAATGTCGGTAGGTTTTGGATCTCTTTGTCTACTGTAGTCATCTGTAACACTCTGAATTTTTATATTTGTACAGTCAACAACTAGATTTAGCATTTCTTCATCAAAAATGCAATTCCAGATGTCAATAGGTATTGAGTGAGTTTTAACAAATTGTTTTATAGCTGGCAATCGTACAAATATATTGGTACTGCGTGTTCTCACATTCTTCGGTGGACAATGATTTTTCCACTTTGTTAATTTATCTTTACCCATAAAGTATGGCTCCCTTCTGAAACTAACATTTTCTTCCTCTGTTTGATCGGCTTCAAATTCCTGTTAAGTATCACTACATTCAGATCGTTCTTCTACATGGTCAATTTCATTTTGTTGATCATCATCTTCATACGTTTCCTCGTCAGTCGATACTTCCTCAAATAATTTTAATAATCATGAATGTGTTGCTTGTGTGAGTCCATTTCAAATAGGTAAAGAAATAATAAATAAGACATAATCACAATCAATTTAATTTAACTATCAGACGACCGGTTTCGCTTTCTACAATATGCAAAGCATCTTCAGGTCTCGATACAAAGTTAAATAAATGCTGAAATGATAAAAACCCATATTAGGGTGTTGTCTAATAAAGATAAACAAAGTAGATGTTGGAAATTACAATAATTATGTCAATATTACATGTCAGTGGTTTTATTTAAAAGAGTAAGTTGAATAAAAAGTATAAAAGTTTTAAAAGTTTAAACAGACAAGGTAAGGCCCACAAATTGTTATAAAATAGTCTCTTCGATTGTAATTAATTAATAAATGAGCAAATAAATAAAATAAACATTACTTACATGCCGGTACTCTATTAATTGATGGATGGTAGAACATGGTTGAAACTACTATGTATTGTTGAATGGAGAACTCAATTCTATTATTGCAGTTGTTTGACAGTAAACGGGAAGTTCTTGAGGAGATATATTTGATCCAATGAAGAAGAGATAAATGTGTGTGATTGTTTGTTAAATGAAAGTGATGTAATATACCATTGTGTTATTAAAAGTTATTTATACTTATTCGAGAGATATATTTATTAAATGTGTGTTATTTATTGAGTAATTGTTTTATGAAGGTGACAGTTTTATGACAATGAATAAGTTTAGATGTAAAAATTGTGTGGGTGTGCAATTATTTTCCAACTTGTAGTTATCAAATTACTTTGATAAAGTTCTATTGGCAATTAGTAAATTATTGAAAAGTCAATTGACTTTTGACCCACACAATGTCTGACAGCAATATCTTCAACTAAAGGAAAAATAAAGCAGCCTTGAAGCTTACCACTTTTTCTTAAAAATGACACTTTAAATTCATTATCGTCTAATGTCTTGAGAACTTTAGCAACATAAAATATATTGTTTTCAAATTTCACTAATACAAAATTATCAATGGAAATTTCTGTACTAGCATCAATGTCATAATCGTCTTCCAAATGTAAATTTTCACATTCATCGCCAGAAGAATCATCGTAATTTATTAGTTCTTCGCCCTCCTCGGATGAAGTGCTATCACTTCGTTTATTTTTTTCTGCTTTGGTACCTTATTTAAATTGACCCTAATTCGTTTATTGAATTCTTGAAACTTGAAACTTGAATTCGCAGGTGATACTACTGACTTAGAGTTTTGAGACATTATCGGTGTTTCAGGTGTCCTTAGTGGGGATACTTCTTGATTTTCAGGTGTCTTCGATGAGGATAATATAACTTGATTGGAAAGCACACTAAAGATTTCTGTCGACTCTGGTTGTGGATTTGGCTTCAGTTTTATTTGGTCTATCAGTCACAGAACTTCCAATGAAGTCAGCTTCAGAAAAAATGTCTCTATTAAGGGGAAAAATTCCCTTTTTATTAAAACCTGACAGAATATTAGTAGGTGCTAATGCTTTCATATGTGCCTCTCCTACACATTGTGCTATCTGGTATATTGAAATAGGTTTACCAGGATGGTTCAGCAACCATGAATCTATACGCTTTAAAGGGAGAGGAAATTGAAACATCAAGGGGTTGCAGTTTGTTACTACAATGTGAAGGCAGAGTCAGTATGATTACACCATTATCCTTTGCCAGTTGAACAACTTGATATGTTACGTGACTCTCATGATTGTCGTTATTCATCCATCCACTTGGATTTGCCAAACCCAGTGTGCCAGGTGGAGCTCCTTATAATATTTCCTTGAAAAAACCATAACAAGAGGCAGAAACGGACCATTCGCAAATACAATTACACATGTAGTAATAAGAATACCCCTTTCAGCGCTAGTACAACTATTCAGCTGTTTTACACTTTTCCCGCCACGACTTTCTTAGGTTTCTGCACTGTTGTTGTACTAGTCTCATCAAGGTTATATATCCTGATATTAGACACAGCTAATGGATATCTAGAATAAACGGCATGCAAATTGTCGAAGAACTTGTTGACATTGTGTGGATTAAATGATGTTAATCTTGATAAAATGCAACCCTCTGGTTGACGTATACTGAGGTTTCCACGCCTATTTGATCCAATTCGTTGGAACAAGAATATTGTTTTTAATTGCCATGTCATATGCTACCTTTCACATAGTCACACAGAGAAATTTCCTGTTCCTCTGACGTACACGTACACGTCGTACAGCATAATTGGGTTCCATTCGATCATCATCTGGATTAGTACGTTTTTTTGCGACATATCTTTGTAATGTCTGAAATTTTACTCCGTGTTCAACGGCAGCAATTCTTAATGATTTTCCATCCAAAATATCTTGTACGGCACTTGTCATATCATCGGAGCTGAATGTCGCTCGACTCCTTGGTTGTTCTTTGCGCACCATGTCTGTAACAAACATAATAGAACTTTGATGGTATACAAGGCAAATATCGAACACAGTAATTAATTAAATCTTGCCCAAGTACATTCGATCAATAGATCATCCTCAGGATGTGATAAACGTTTATAGACTTACTTCGTCAGTTGTGGCCTATCCGACATGAGCAGAATGTCATACATGTAAATTTGGACATAATATTACAATACACAAAGACAAACAAACACTTTAAAATTTTTAAAAATGGAGAAGCTACATGTTATATAGAAGCCGGAGACAGAATGGCTCCCGGTCTGGCGGAAATATTGAGATGACACGTGACAAATGACAGCTTGTAAAGGGCAGTTACAATAGATATGTGATTTGCACCTTTCAAAATTCTATGAAGCTAAGTATTGACCAAAGGTCCAACTGACAGCACTATAGGAAATCAACTAATGAAATATAAAATTATATAGTATATTTTTTATGTAGATTGAATAATCCAAATCTCACACTCAAACCTGTGTATAATAATTAGGATGTTAGTTTGAGAGAAAGATAGGATAAATACACTTGATAAAAGTGGTATTTACAAATTAAAATGTGATGATTGTGATGCCTCTTATGTAGGTAGAACCATCAGAAAGTTATCCGCTAGAGTCTCTGAACATTTGAGAAGACGAAACTCTTTAAGTTTTGGTCAACACTTAGTATCCAGCAACCACAATTTTAACATCAATTCTGGTTCATCTATCTTACATGAAATTCGTAGAAAGAAAAACTATCTTGAGTTGGATTTATTGGAAGATTTGGAGATTACAAGGGAAACAAATGAAAACTCTCACTGTCTTAATACTCAAATTAATTTAAATTGTACTAAATTTAATCCTATATTTAAAAACTTTATTACAGCTTCATCTCGTAGAGGACCCAGCTCGACTGTTTAGACTTCATGCACTGAGCATTTCAATATTAATTTTAAAGTTCTTCCATTGACTGTGGATTCAACTGAACTACTTGGATTATAACCCATTTATATATTTTGCTTTCAATTTTGATTTTAACTTTTAGTAATTTAACTGCATATTCAGATTTTTCCTTTTTTACAGTACTGATAGCGCTTGGTGGACCATTTTATTGTAGTCAACCATCCACTTACATTCATACTTTATGTCAACTTCAATTGCTCTCAAACTAACATTTTAATTATTATAGACAGGTTTGAGTGTGAGATTTGTATTATTCAATCTACATAAAAAAATATACTATATAATTTTATATTTCATCAGTTGATTTCCTATAGTGCTGTCAGTTGGACCTTTGGTCAATACTTAGCTTCATAGAATTTTGAAAGGTGCAGATCACATATCTATTGTAACTGCCCTTTACAAGCTGTCATTTGTCACATGTCATCTCAATATTTCCGCCAGACCGGGAGCCATTCTGTCTCCGGCTTCTATATAACACGTAGCTTTTCTATTTTTAAAAATTTTAAAGTGTTTGTTTGTCTTTGTGTATTGTATTGTTATGTCCAAATTTACATGTATGACATTCTGCTCATGTCGAATAGGCCACAACTGACGAAGTAAGTCTATAAACGTTTATCACATAAAAGCTTTTTTCAACCATAAACTTCGAGTTTTTTATGGAAGTGAATTAATTTTCCTTTTTTATTAAAAAAACGTTTCTTGGCTTATTTCAGATGCCCCTGAGGATGATCTATTGATCGAAAGTACTTGGGCAAGATTTAATTAATTACTGTGTTCGATATTTGCCTTGTATACCATCAAAGTTCAATTATTCGAACATTCAACCTTACATTTATTGACAAACATAATAAACTTTCATTCTACTTATGCAACATATCATTGTAGCATAAACACTTGGTACAAATTTTAGTAGTACACAATGGGACAGTCTCATTGTGTACTATCACCCGGTGTCTCATTGTGTACCAAGTAGCATTGTTGTAAACAAATGCAAATAATCATATTTAATTTTTAGTTTTGAGGCATGACTATTTGAGGTTAGACTAACTTAACTGTGGTATTTCACGCATACACTTGCAAATTGATACAAATCAACAATTAGTTCTAATAATAAGTCAACAAAACTATATAAAAAGTAACTTCTTACATTAATTAAACAGTTTATCACTGTAACTTTTGCGAGGTCACGAATGAAATGGTGTTATTTTGACTGGCGCTGTAAAATGACATTTCTGAGATAATGTTGGTTGCAGAATTGACACTTGGCGGTAAATTAAAAAAAAAATTAGAATTTCTTATTGTGTACCATGTCTCATTGTGTACTACTCTCCCCTAAGGTTTAATATAAATATTTATTTCTAGGGTTAATCTAGAACAAGAATTTACAAGAAGGCAAACAGGATCCAATAATAGATATTTAAATAAATCACTAGACAGAACTAAAATTGTTACATACTATTCAATATTGACAGTGGGTACAATAATAATAGCTGTTATTAAATCTGTGTATTTTATGACGTTTCTGACCATTGCTTCACGAAATTTACACAATTTGATGTTCTCAAAAATAATCAACGCTACCATGAACTTTTTTGACAACAATCCTTCTGGTAGAATACTAAATAGGTTTTCGAAGGATTTGGGCACTGTGGATGAATATTTACCATCAATTTTGGTAGATGTTATTGAGGTATTTAAATATGTTTTTTTATTTTATAGTTCATAGACTGACTTTTGTGCAATCTTGTGACAATTACCTGGTAGTAACTACAATTCAGATTGTTCTATGTCACCTTAGATTATTGAACTTCAGCCATGATCATCACAATTAACACCCTTTATGAATACAGGTGACTTCTTTATATCAACTGCGGTTTAATATTACATAAACAACTCTGTGAATCCAGACAAAAGAAATGAGGAGAAGAACTAGATCAACTCGATATGAGAAATCAACTCAACAATTATTGAGAAATGAAAAATCCTAAAAGAAAGTAAAAAACCCATCATTTACGAAAGGAAAAGAAACGGAAAGAACAATCTTGATACACCATTTATCCTAAACGCTACCTCTCTGCTTCAACTTAGAAATGAGGAGGCACATTGCCAACTGAATTCGTGGAAGGGAAGTAACACATATCCAGTTCAAAATATCCCGAAGCGGCATTGACAATCGCGACATTAGTTTGTTGACCATAGAAATGCAGATTTATTGTAATCCTATCTCTAGAGTATATTTATTATAATGTTCTAAAACTAATTTTTTGATTATTTTTGAGCCTTAATAGCAATACAAATAAATTAGTAAGTAAATAAATAAGTAATATGCTTTATTGCCACGAAAAATTGTACAAATTTGTACAAAGACAAGAAAGAAGAAAAAAATTAGACTAAGAATCGTTTTTACTTCTTCTAAGACTAAGACTAAGAAAAAAAGTCTTCTACACTTAAACATAAAAAATACTATCTAATTAAGAACCTACAAACTTCGTAAAATATACCTAACAAAAAATAAAAATTAGGAAAGCAGATTAATGAATTAAGGGCTCAAATATTCCACCTTCTTGTGCTAAACAGTAACCAAATCTATTATACAGCTTTCTCCTTATATTTTGGAGTAGGGCTGGTGTAATGCTTGCAATGAAATGTCTGTAGATCAGAAAAACTGATGCCTATAGATGTTTTCTTTGAGAACCCCCCTTCCCAAACAAAAAAGAAATCATTAGGTTTCTCGTTGGAACACCCATCCTGTTGGAAATTATTCTGAAAATTATCGGGAAGGCGTCTAACTACCGAAATGTCTCATTCTGTAAAAGTTGTAAATATTTGGGCCCGTTTAGGTTTCCATCGATAAAAAATGTAAATCCATCGATAAAAATTTAACTTTTGCAGATGCTGCGTTCGCACTGCAATATTGAGGTGCTTATTTTTCCGAAAATAATACCTTGCAACCAATGGATTGGGATTAAAAAGATTGAGAAACAGATTAAGACTAGGTAAGGTCTCGTCAAGACAAATAAAATCAGGGGGGTAGGAGAGACACACAAGACTCACTGTGCAAATGCAGTGAGGGTCACAACATGAAACACCTACTAAAATGATGACTATACCTTGGTATAAGCACTAAATAATCGCAAAATTCCTCGCCCAGATATGGCAATATATATGGATATGGCCTTGGTAACTGGACTTAAATGGAAAGAATTCATTAAAAAAAAACAAAAGAACTTCACTGACATTAATTTTAGGCAAGTGTATTGTGGTACAAGTATGGGGATGTAAAGAAAAGATACACATATCAAAATAGCATAAAATCTTGGTAAAAAACTTATCCATGATCTTAAGAAACATAAATCACCTTGCACCGTTACAACAAACCAACTCGCTACTCAAATCTTCGTGAAAGAAAGAAATAAGAATCGATATAAAGACCCAAACTCTAGAAGAAAACTGACCCACGGGACAAACCTCTTAGGAACATAACTTATACTAAAAAAAGAGCAAGACAAACAAACAATGGAAAAACTGCAGATATGAATGAGATATGCAGTGAATAAATAAAGCAACTGCTCCGAGAAGAAAAAAATTTATGTTAGCTCTCTAGCCCGTGTTTTAGAGTCTTCGATATTCCAAAATCTTGAAAGAAATCTATATAAAAGCCTTATTAAAACCAGGAAATAGTTAGAAAATTGCAGAATTTAAAGACTTATTTCCCAATTTTGTCATTTTTCATAATATACTAGGGAGAATGCTCTCTTATCCTGGCCAGAATAGAACAAAATATTAACAAATACTTCATCCCACAATTAGGAAGATTTAGACCCAGCAAATCTTGCACCAGCCTAACAGAACACATTGAAGAGGCCTTCGAAAAAAAAAACAATAATGAGGGCTCCTTTTAACCAAGTCCTATGCTATGCTGAGGCTCTTGCAACATGTGCTCAAGGAAAAAGTTTTGAAAAAGTAGAAGAGTAACTCGCAACTGTTATAAATACAATGACAGCGTACTACCTGCAGAATTCTCTGAGATCCAAACCTTTTAAAATCCAAGTTTGTGCCTTATCTATGTTTAGATCCTTTAACACATAACATGTCCGCATAACAGCCCGACTATTTTTCTCTTCCCCAGGTTCAATGGACCGGCTAGTCTCTAGACTTTAAAACGTGGAAAACTATGATTAGGATAAGAACTGAGGTAGCTTAATTAAAATCAAACATGGCAAAATGGAATAAAATAGACCAGGATGATGTAAATTATGACTGTGGACAAACTAGCATCTGTGTAACCTTGAAGAGTTTTGGCTCGCCAACAAAGATAGAAAGGATGTAGCCCGATACTGGGTCGAAATTACATGAATGACATGTCAGGAACGATAAAGTAAAATAGAGTACGTCACTGTTTATAATGACAAAAGCATTAGTTACAGTTTAAGCTACAAACTGATTAAACAGAGGTTGATAATACTGCTCGTTTTTTTAACTATTAAATTGTATTGTTCTAATATTAACAAATATTATATTACATTTCAGATCGGTTTATTACTTCTAGGAGTACTTACTTTGTCTTCTATAGTAGAGCCGTATTTATTGATTGTGTCGGCGTTTCTGTTACTAGTATTTTATCTAATGAGATTGATTTATATAGAGACCAGTCGAAATGTTAAGAGAATAGAAGCTGTAAGTAAGTAACATTGGATGTATGAATTTTACTACTTAAATAACTAGAATAAAATATTTTAATTTTACTAAAGTAACGTGAAATAACTGTAATAGCTATGGTCATGCTTTCCGTTGAAATTTCCGACCACATTTCTAAAAGTTTCTCTGTCTTTTGTAACGTGGAATAATTCATCTGCAGTCATGTTTGTCCAGTCTCAAATAGTTCGCAGCCATGACTTCCTCTTTCTACCTATTCCCTTTTTGCCATCGACTCTACCCTGCATGATGATCTGCAGAAGACTGTATTTATCATTCCTCAGTATGTGTCCAAGGTATGCAGTCTTACGTACTTTTATTGTTCTCAACAATTTTTTGTCTCGACCCATCCTTCTCAGCACTTCCTCATTGGTGAGCCTAGCAGTACATGAAATTCTCAACATTCTCCGGTATATCCAAAGTTCAAAGGCTTCAAGCTTCTTTACTATTTGTGCTTTTAACGTCCATGTTTCTACCCCGTACAATAGTTGGGACCAGACTGTACAAAAAGGGTGTACATATGTGGGAAATTATGAGTATAATTTCAGTGTATGTGGACTGTATTATATAGGGCTGGTTAAAATAAATTAGGATATGTAGTAAAGGGTATACAGACAATAGCAAATTAAGTTTATACAAAGTCTTACCAATATTTCTGCTCCACACTCTCGCGGTTTTTCCTCTTATGCGGAATATATCCGGGCACACTGGCGGTTTTTCGAAACAAGTGTTTTGCGGTACTTACACTTTGTGAGATAGAGCATACTTTGTCTGTACACGATTTAAAATAGTATTTGCGGTATTTTTCGCGTAACTAAAGCGGGAGATAATTAGTGATAAAAAACAGCCAAGAGAGATGCTGTTCTTCTTGACAAGCGAAGAGAGAGAGAGAGGGAGAGAATGAGAGAGAGAGAGAGAGAGAGAGAGAGGAGAGAGAGAGAGAGAGAGAGAGAGAGAGAATGACTATCCCTAGCGGTAGCCGACAATCAAGAGGGCACGACTTGCTCTGGCGGTAGTCAAATCAAAAAAAGAGTCTTTCTTCTTTGCTATCTTATAACTGTCTGTATTTGTAATGGAGTGGGGTTAAAATGTGAGTAGGAAGGGTTAGTAAGGGTTGGACTAAGATAATAATTGTAAAATTGTGATAGAAGGATAGTTAATAATATAGCGAAAAAGATGACATGATTTTTCGCATGTGAAAAAATTGAACACAGACATAACATTCAACAAACCTCAGTCTTAGTGCAGTATTCAGATTTTTGTTACAGAACAATTGCTTGAATTTATTTTAAGAATGCTGCCCTTACCATTTCTATTCGTACCCTGATCTCTTGGTCTGTATCTAATTCTGTATTGATGTAAGCACCCAGATATTTATATTTTGTCACTATCTCTATTTGCTGTCCACCAAGGGTTAGTTGTTTATTATTTATTAGACTCCTTGATACTATTATAAATTTGGTTTTATCTGTGTTGATGTCAAGTCCCATTTGAGTGCATTCACTATTTATTGCATCTAGGAAAGTTTGTAGTGCTTCTACTCTCAGCCATAATTACGTTGTCATCTGCAAATCTCATGGTGTTTAGGATTTCTCCACTAATTTTTATTTTTTCTTTTCTTTCCATTAATACTTTTCTGAATATGACCTGTGATCACACGTTGAAAAGCGTCGGAGACAAAACGCATCCTTGCCTGACCCCTCTTGCCCTCTCGCCCTCTGACCCAATTGGTATATTATTTGTTTCTATATCGTTCATATTTACTACTGCTTTCTGGTTCCAGTATATAGCCTTAATAAACTCAATGCCTTTTTTTGTCTAAATTGATGTTTTTTTAATTCATCTATTAACTTCATATGCTGCACTTAGTCAAAGGCCTTCCTAAAGTCTATGAAGCATACATATGCATTCTTGTTATGTTCCCGACATTTCTGCAAGAGGACCGTCAACGCAAATAATGCCTCTCTTGCAACCACGCCTCCTCTGAAGGCAAACTGCGTTTGATCTATCTGCTCCTCACATTTCTTATAAATTCGGTTATGAACAATATTCAAGAGAATCTTAAAAGCGTGGCACATTAGGCTTATCAATCTATACTCATTACATGGTTTGGGATTATTGTTTTTTTGGTAGAGGTAAAAATATCGATTTAAGCCAACTCCTCCGGGATGTTGCCCTCTACATATATGTGGTTGAGAATTCGAGTAAGTCTCTTTATATTACCGTCATCTAAGGGTTTAGGGAAAGCTTGGGCAGCATTCGGTAAACTGAACTATATACTCAGAAATCAACAAATTCAATTACATCTTAGAAGTAAAGTTTTTGATGCATGCATTATTCCGATATTAACTTATGCGGCACAAACATGGAGAATCACAAACAAGAATATCAATATACTTAGAGTCACTCAACACGCGATGAAAAGAGCAATGCTAGGTATATCACTTAAGGACAAGAAAACAAACACATGGATAAGACAGAAAACCAAAGTCACCGATGTGGTGCAAAAATCATTAAAGTTGAAATGGGAATACGCTGGACGTGTAGCTAGGAGCGATCTAAACAAATGACACAGATCAATTTTAACCTGGAGACCATACCAACACAAAAGACCCAGAAACAGACCTCGTATGAGATGGACAGATGACCTGAAAAGGACTGCCGGGAAAAATTGGCTACAAGTAGCGTACAATAAAAAACAATGGAAAGGAAGACTTGAAGAGGCTTATGTTCAGATGTGAACGTGAATGTCTAGACGAAGAAGAAGAAGAAGAAGAAGAAGAAGGGTTTTAAACAGTTCAACTGGAATTTAATCAGGACCCGGTGCTTTTCATTGTTTTTCATTCTTTAGGACATACTTTACTTCTGAGGGTAAAATTTGTAGGGTAGTATATATTTGTTATCACTAATTTTTCTCCTGGCAGTATTGGACTAATGTATCACCTCTGTTGTTTCTTTTACCTAACCCAAAATTTCCTACAATATTTCCAGTTTTTCCTCGACTGACTTTAGCAATAAAGTCGCCCATAATTATTTTTACCTCCTGCTTCTTTATGTTTTTTGTTAACAGCACCGCATAACATTAACAGCTCCGCGTTTCCAAGTCCGCGTAGAATTTTTTGACCTCAGCATCATTGCTATTAGATGTTGGAGCATACACGGATTAGATTTATGTTTAGAGGTTTGGCTTTCAGCTGAAGTAGCATTACACGTTCGTTAAAGGGAATGAAATTTGTCACAAACTCTTTTAAATTATTGTTGATAATCATACCAACACCATGGCTGTGTTCTCCAGTGCTTTTGCCTGAGTAGAAAATAGTATTATTATCATTGGTGTAGTTTCCAGAATTCTTCTGGAATTCTTCGGGGATTCTTCGCACTCCTGTCCCATTAAAGGGACGCCGGACACTCGGGGTCACTGTTTGATTTACATCCATATGTGGCTGTTCTTGAGAAATCCTTAGGGATCTTTAATGCAGTGGTTTCTTCTTGCCTTCTGCATCCTTATGCCGTTGATCTTGGTTCATCCGCCTTTGAGATCGATATCTCAATCTCAGGAAAGAAAAGTACTAAGGCAAATCTATGGAGCAGTAAATCACAATGAAGTCTGGAGAAGACGATACAACTTCGAACTTTATATGTAGAATATACCAGGAACTTGATATAGTAAAACATATTAAGATAGGACGTCTAAGGTGGATAGGGCATGTAATATGGATAGAACAAAATGACCCAGCTATAAAAATGCTTCTTGCTAGACCCATTGGCCAGAGAAGAAGAGGAAGACCCAAAACAAGGTTCCTTGATAACATCGATGAAGACATGCGAAATATGGGAATACGTGCTTAGCGAAGAAAGGCGATGGATAGGGACGACTGAACAGAAATTCTTAGGAGGCAAGGACACACGCAGGGTTGTACAACCAGAATGATGATGATGAAAACTAACTTGTCACGACGCTCTAAACTCAATTTACGTTCCCTATCTACCAATGAAGTCGGTGGAGAATCCAATGCTTTTCGAATTCTGCTTCGCAATGATAGGAAGAGCCGACACCGAATGATCAAAAAGCGACGTTGCTTTGAACGCTTGGCTGCCACAAATCAGTTATCCCTGTGGTAACTTTTCTGAAAATTATTGCCAAAAACTCTTCAAGCCAAAAAGATCGATAATCGAAATTAAAAATGAACTGGAACTACGGAATGAAAGAGGCAACAGACTACCTCAGTTCTGCCAAGAACAAAACATGATTGTTATGAATATACAGTTTTAACTATCAGCTCGCAAATACATAATCATTAATCAAAGTAATCGAAATAAGTGCAAAAACCTTTTCCGGTGCAAATAAAATATATTTTATTTACAAACCAAATTAAAAAATCGTTAAATTGAATTATCACTATTCCACTAGAAGAATGCACCTCTGTATTCCTTATAATATCCAAGAGATATCATTATTTCGGGCTTTCAAATTGAAGCGGGTCAATATATGCACATACAGTGTAGGAAAAAGTTTATGGTCGGTATGGACCTTACGTGAGATGGAGTGAGAAACAGCTGTTTAGAAAGAGAGAGGTATATTAGGTCCGCCCTTTATATCGCCAAACATGCATGCCTGAAATAATAAAAAAGGGGAAGTTCAACGTTGCCAAACTTATTGGATTTATTTGACCTGTTGTTTTTTTGCATTTGAACAATGTTCTAAGATAATCCAATTTGGGCGAAATTGATTTAAATGGCAGCTTACTGTTTTTTTATTGGGAATATGCCACAAGTTTACTTTACAATAAGTGTAATATAACATTTTGATTTCCACTTCGGAAATCGTTTTATATAAATAAAATTTATTATTGTTTCGTATTTTAAGTATGATTTCCGAATTAAAAATCTAAACATCAAAATAAGCTTATTTTAAAGTCACATTGTGCCTTATTCTCAATATGAAATAATAAACTGCATACAATAACGCCACATTAAAAAATATTCATACACAATAATTATTTGGCAACGTCGGTCTGGTCTGGTCTGGTTTGGCCGACCGAGTAACGAGTAGTAGAGGTGGGTCGTGGTAGTTTTATCGTTAAGAGCGTAGGCACAAAATTTCGTTCGAATATTTTTTAAATGCATTCATTTTTTGCGAATCCTGAGAAAACTTATAAATATTTTTAAAAAATTTAAACGCAGAATGAAACAATACATTATTACCGAAAACTGAAAACTTCTATAATGTTTATTGTTTATTTTAATAAGTTATAGGGGTGAAAAAAAAAATTAGTGTGATTTTTAATTTCAAATATCTCATTCAAAAACCTTTTTGTTTATTCTAAGGGACTTTCGGCCCTTGATAATAATGTAATCTTTTATTCTGCATTTAAATTTTTCTAAAATATTTGTTAGTTTTCTCAGGATTCCAAAAAAAATGAATGCATTTAAAAATTTAAATTTTTGTAAACAAGTAACTATGATTGTTTAAAAGTAGTTTTAAGTAAGAGAGTACCTACATAAACAAACATAATCGCTATTATCGTTTATGTGTATATTTATTGAAGTGAAAGAAATTAATGATTTATTTATAATAACTTGAAAAATAAACTAAACAATACAAATAGTAACTCATACTTACATTTACATTACACGTTATTATTAAATCGCGAATAGTCTAAATTGACATTCAAAAACATTTTGAAAAAACAAAGTTTTTCGACTTTACTTGTTATTAACCGTCTTCTTTTTTATTTCAAATTAAACCAGATTTTGAACATATGTTCACATTTACAATACTAATAGTGGTTAAGTTAGGATATACATGGCGATGGTTTTTCCACCGTTGTAATGGACTCTCGATTCAGGTGTACGTGTAGATGAACCATCTTCAATTAATTGATCAAAAATACACCATGGATTTAAGTCATCTTTATTGGTTTCTTTTTCTTGTACTGGTTGATTTTCAATAGTACAATCTTCTTGTTCGTTAATTATAGAAGTAACCAGCTTCTTAACTTTTTCTTTAATTTTTTTTCTTCATTTTTATCAGAAAAACCCTTCACTTTAAATGGTGAATCCATAAATGTACATAATAACAATGTGCCACTCTGTTCTATCCCTTTAAATCTTTTTGCTAAACCCGATATTAGTAATATTACTACGTCGGATAATATGGATGTAAGGTTTGCTAAACCTTATTGCTAAATTTACCGTTTGATAAAATTGTATTGCAAGATTCTTGCAAGCAGCGTACCATAACAATCACTGAACTACCTTCAAGTATTTTTAGTCACTCAATGTACTTGTTATTTCTTTAAACGGCCGTAAAATTTGGGAAAGCTAAGAACAAATAATCCAGTGTTATTTATTTAGATTTGTTCTAAGTCTAAGTCTGTATTATTTAATACCGATGTGGAACGGATTGCCTCTTCTAACTCGGTCATTTTTTTTAACATGTAGTAGGTGAAGTTATACCTAGTTTCCATGTCTTGGATTGGCCGTTTGGGAACTTTGTTATGTTGTAATTAATACTTTAAAAGCCTTTCTGAAGATAAGGTACTTTTTTTTTAAATGTGTTTTTTGCAGAATTGTCGAAAATAGGACTTTTTATTTTATCTATTATCAAATCAGTTTTGACATAATATTCCTGAAGTAATGAACCTGACAGTTTTTCTTGTTGGTAGTTTATATCCAGGAATCCACCCTGCAAACTTTTTAAAAGCTAGTTCTTCACCTATGGAAAACGGATGAAACGAGTCTTTGCATAAGTTTAGTAAATCTTGAAAATCAACCAGTACAAGAAAAAGAAACTGATAAAGATGACTTAAGTCCATGGTGTATTTTTGATGAATTAATTGGACGTGACACATCTAAACATACACCTGTATCGAGATATATAAAAGAAGTCGACATGTATTTGTCTGATGATATATTACCACAAAAAATTTCGAACGGAGATTGGAACTGTCCATTACCGTGGTGGAAAAACCATCGTCATGTATATCCTAACTTAACCACTATATTCATAAAATATTGTAGTATTGTAACAAAATAAAGGTTGGAAAAGGGCTACAGAAATCTGCGGTTAGTATCATACCTAAATGGAAGATACACAAAAACCCGATGAGCTGCAGCATGATTAATTGATAATTAATAAATGGATAAAATTGAAAATGGATATATTAGGGAAAATTTAGTTAGAGAAACCTATCTTGCAAAGGGGTAAAAGCAAAAAGAATAATAATATTGACCTTCCACATAATTTAACTTTTGTATTACATTATTACTCAGCATTTCAAAATTACCTTTGAAAACCTTTACTTTTTCAGATAAAAGCCCCATGTTTAGCCACATGTCATCTACCATGTATGGTTTGGACACTATTAGAGCATTTTCTGCGGAAAATATGTTAATCCAGCAATTCGATGACCTGCAAGATATTCATAGTTCAGCTTGGTACATATACTTGGCGTCCGGAAAATGTTTTGCACTGTGGTTGGACTTGGTGTGTGTATTTTTCATAGCTATTGTCGTGTTTACTCTTTTACTAGTCAACAGAGGTAAGTAACTTTCCAATTATATAATATTATATAGATTGCATTGTTTGTTTGCATTCGAGCTTATATAGTCGTCATCGGATTTTATTACTATCAAAAAGGTAGTGCACTGCACTGGTCAAAACGTAGCATTCAGGCATTTATACGTCTTCACTGTGCTAATACATATATATATATATATATATATATATATATATATATATATATATATATATATATATAAATATATATACATATAAATATATATATATATATTTTATTATATATATATATATATATATTTTATTATATATATATATTATATATATATATATATGCATATTATTACCATATCTATTATTATTATTATATGATTGTCTATATTGTTGATTATTATTCTTATTATATTGAAAGATATTATTGTTTTTTCTATTATTATTATTATTCATCCTAATATCATTGTTATCATTATTACTTGTCATATTACCTCTTTGTATTCTTTGAACAAAATTGATAAAACTATCTATTGTTTGAATATTTTGTACTGTTACTGTTTGTACAACATCTGCATCAAAATGTCTAGATACATTTAAAACTGTTTCATCCTCTCTAAGTGGTGGTTCTAAATACTTTGCAACTGTTATCAGCTTTAATGCATAATCTACCATATTAGATCTTAAATTAGGATTATACTTTCCAAAATAGAGAACTTCCCTAAATCTAGCTTGCTCTAATTCACCCCAATAATAATTTAAAAATTAATTTTCAAATGTTTGAAAATTTTCCAAATCATTCTCAACACTGGCAAACCAAGTTGCCGCATTATCACTTAATGTCATTCTAATATATTCTTTAATATCATTAATATTATTCACTAATCTTAATTTATGTTTTAAACTATTTATGTATACTCTAGGATGAAAATTTTTGATATTACCAGAGAAATTAATCCCAGTGTCATTTGTTAAATTTAAGTAAGGTCTCCCTATGTCTCTCATTTGTGAAATATGTAATTTCCATATAATGTACTTTGAAATATACTGGATCTTGTGGTTGTACTATTGAATGCTTACTTCAATGAATTAACTTCATACTGTCACTATATTACTGTAGTAATAATTAATCTCCAACTGTATTTGACTTAATTAATTCATTTAACTTAATCAATGCCTTCCTCTAGCTAATAATCTCTTCATAACCTCATAATATCTTCTTAATTCTTCTTTATAACTGACATAATAATAATAATGAAATTCCATCATAACTAACTTAATAATGAAAAAATTGTTCAAAATCCTTTATAAAAGGTATATAAAAAATGCCCCAAACGGGCTATCACAAAGAAATTGCAAAATGTTTTCGGATTGATAAATCCATCATCAGTGCAAACCTGAAAGTATATAACCACTTTAATTAAAAAGAACGTTAAATTAAAATGTTGACAAAGGTTCGAGCAAAATGTGGTTAATACTTACGGTTGTACATGCTAGTAGCCACCAAAATATATGGGTCAAATAACCCTTTAAATGTTTTAAATTTATAGTTGTTTTACATTATTAATAGTTATAATTTGTGATGTTTAAGTGACCGTTGGATAGGTAACATGGCGGCGTATGACTCTACATGAGTAAAATGGTCCTGAGGCGAAGTGTCTACGAGGACCTGTTGATAACAACTGATCAAAGCGACATTGTTGACATATTAGGACGGATGTTGTGTCAGAGCAGTCAGTGTAACTGACGGTAGTTGTCTAAAAATGACAAATGTCAGCCTTATTTAAAATTGAAAGAAGTTAAAATTATAATAATGAGTTAAAATTATAATAATGTAACAGTATCAACCATCAATATTGTAATCTGTATTGTAAATTAATCAAATAGCTATATTTGAAACATTAAAAATTGGTTTTTTAAAAATTAATATGGGTCAATGAAATTTATGAAATTTTGTAGGATTGATAGACAACCAACTATACATGTGTAAGGATCTATTTATTTTAAGCTAAAGATTTTGTCAAAAGGCCCTGTATGTTGTGAGACATTTGGTTCCTAGAAAATGGTAAAAAGGCACATGTGGGAAGATGGGTCCTAAAAGATTTATTATTGAGTATTGATGTAGTGGGTGGAGGTGTTTTTAGATATGTTGTTGAACTGAAATGTAAATATGATAAGAATGTGATTGATAATGTGGTGTTCGTGTAGTACTCAACTTAAAACTTAAGTATGGAAGGCCCTCTATGTCAAAAAACCACATTTGGTACCTAGTAAAGATAAATAAAAATTTTTAAGTTATAAGTACGTGAACATGAATTACTGGTTATGTCTATAAAGTAAAGATGGTAGGTTGTTTATATGTGTGGGCAAGTATGCCAGACTAACAGAAAATTGATGGCTGAAAGATGGTTAGGTGTGATATTGTTCCTACATTGCTCAAGTTATAACTCAAGAAAACAAAAGGCCCTATATGTTAAAAGGAACATTTGGTGCCTAAGAAATATAAAAGTAAAAAGGGATGAGTTATAAGTTAGAGTGTAGGTAGGTGTAAAGTTAATAGGCTTATGGAGTGTTTGTGCTAGCTCGTTTGGGGCATTTTTTATATACCTTTTATAAAGGATTTTAAACAATTTTTTGTGATATATGGTATACAGCCAGCTACAGGAACTTAGTTTCCTCGTGGAATTTTAATAATGAATTATCAATAATCTTCATGACTTCCTGTAACTTAATGCCTTCTACTAACTTTACCAACTTCACGACCCAACTATAACTTAATAATAATAATGTAACTGACTTAATAATCCCCTGTAACCGACTTAATAATCCTTGAATTCTTAAATTCTTCAAACTAATTCACTTAATAATTGACTGTAACTTCTTGTAACTTAACGCACTTCACGAATCAACTCTAACTTACTTAATAATCTAATGTAACTGACTTAATAATCCCCTCTTGCTTCAATTACATCCTTTTATATATCTTTTCAGGGTTCCAGAATAATCTAGCAATGAATAAGGTTCGAATCGTTCTATTTTTTCTATCTGAAAATTCTGGAATAAATGGAATGGTTTTTGTCTATGTAATGGACTATGCAAATAGTCCTATTGACGTTTCTAGAACTTTCTTTGGTCTACATGTACAATTTAACTGCTTTCAGATCAGAATTACACTATTATATGTAACTTAAACATTTATATTAAATATATTATCACTATTTTACATTCGTAATTATATTTTAAATTAACATTCCAAATAAATAAACTCATTTGACTTCTGACAATTACAGATTATATCTGGTTGCATATGCATATGGCTGACTTATATATATTTATAATTATTAAAAAAAACTTTTAACATTTATTGTATGCTAGATTCTTAAAAATACCCTCATATAATTATTTTTTAATAATATTATCTAGTATATAACTTATAAATTATGTCTTTAATTACTATTTAAATAAATTTATTAATTAACAGTGTATATCTGGTTGTATATACACATGGCTGACTTAAATACATTTCTATGCTAATTTATTGTATTTCTGTTCTCATTACAATATATATATATATATATATATATAATATAATCATAAGCCCATTTACCCTAAGGTGTTGGGTGTAATGTCTTTAGTTAGTTGCATGTACAATTTTTCTCCATTGCTTCTTATTCTTATTCTTTGCTTGGTTTCTTGCTTGTTCTTTGCTGATTCCTCGTGTCTCTAGGATTGAGGTAACATTATCATCCCATGTCTTCATTGGCCTGCCCTTGGTCTCTTGGTTTGTCTTCTGGCTTCCCATACTTTTTTAACTAGTCTCTCTTGATTCTTTCTAACCATGTGTCCGTATCATCTTAGTTGGGCCTCTTCAATTTTCTTAATAATTGGTTAAACTTTAAGATGTTCTCTGACTGCCCATTTCTAATCCTGTTTAACCTGGTTATACCCATTATTCTTCTAAGAAACTTCATTTCTATGCTTTGTATTTTCGATTTTAATTTATCGGTAAGCGTCCAACTTTCACTACCAAAAGTTAAAATCGGCACAAACACCGTCTTGTATATGGTCACTTTGGCTTTTTGGGATACTTTTTTTTTACAGAAACGTACTTTTAATTGCGTGGTACATCCGAGCAGCACTTTCTATTCTGGAACTTATTTCAGTTTCTTCAGTTCCTCTGTTCTCAATTTGTACTTATAAGTATTTGTAAGTATCGACTTGTTCAAGTGTATTTCCATTAAGTGTAATCTTCTGTTTTCTATTTTTTCCACATACCATTACTTTCGTCTTCTCATTATTGATCCTCAAATTTCGTATAATTAGTGCAGCGTTCCATATTTGTAAATTTCCATTGAGTGCTTCTTCATTTATCCCAAATATCACTAGATCGTCTGCGTATGCATGCTCTGAGATCCACACTGCATCTAGATTTCTATGTTCGGCATATAATTTCAATGTTTCTGCTCTAGTTTCTTTAATTATGTCATCCAAGACAATGTTAAACAGTATGGGGCCTAGGACTCCTCCTTGACATAGACCCTCATTTGCTGTGAACTCTTTGGATTCCATATTATCGGTTCTGATTATGTTCCTTGTATATTTATATATACTCATAATGGCTTGCCTGAGTTTAATTTTCACACCTTTCTTTTTTAAACATATGTCAATTACCTTCCTTGGAGTACGATCAAATGCCTTTTCTAAGTCTATAAAGGCTTGGTACAACTCAGTGCTTGAGTTCCGTGCGTTTTGTATTAGTTTCTTGATAGTAAAAATGTGATCTTGGATACTTCTGCCTTTTCTAAATCCACTCTGTGGGCATCTCCCTTTTTGAAAATGGGTAGAATAACTCCCATTTCCCAATATTTTGGTATTTGGCTCTCATTCCATGCCCTGTTACATACTTTTGTTAGCAGTTCGATGCCCTTGTCGCCCATGTTTTTAAGCATTTCTGCTGTGATTTTATCAAATCCAGCCGCCTTACCTTTCTTAAGCTTTTGTATGATTTCTTTTGTTTCTGCTATAGTTATT